TGTTCCGCGACGAAAACAAGCTTGAGCAATGGCGATGTCGAATGGTGCACACTCGGTAAGTAATCCTACAATTTTTTGTTTGTAGCGTAGTTTATACGGATTATTTCCAAAAAAAATATACGTATTTTGGAAATGTTGAGTCGGATTAGTCTAGAATCGATTAATTTTATGGAAGAAAACCTTTCAAACAGCCGTAGTCCGTAAACTTGACACATGTCAGGCTGTGATTGGAAGGACTCGTAAGAAATCGGATTCCTAAAGAATGGAACGTATCTACTCTCTTATAGGGGGTCGACTGTATTGACATAATTTTGATACATCAAAATGAGAATACAGGCTTAAACATTAAATAAATACAGGTAACCTCAGTATAACACGGCATTTCTATAGCACGGATTCGCTCTAACACGGTTCGAGAATTGAGAACATCCCCCGTATAACACGGTGCTTTTATAGCACGGGTTCACTCTAACACGGTTCGAAAACTGGGTAAAACCCTCGTACAACATGAAATGTAATAAAGGGTGCGTTCTTTTATACTTCCGCAACTCCGCGCGAGCATTCTAATTGTTTTCGTGGCTACTTTGAATGCTTTTTCAACAACAATCCATTTAATGGTTAAATTTTACAATTGGAACCCTTCTTTTGCCTCTAAAAGCTCATTTTAGAATTATTGATTCCTCCATCGTTCCTAAATGCCTACAAACAGCAGCGCACTCTCGTTGGAGAGCGACCGCTATTAACGAATGCACCCAAAAACTGTTACCAGTTGATGATGCTCATGCTGAGATCATCATACAGGATGAATAATCCTCTGGTAAAATATTTACGTATATTAATAAATAAGTATTTTACCTATGAAAAAATGAATAGTAAATCCGATTTAAATAAGAATTTCACAGCATGTTTTTTAATTTTTGGAACCTAACCCCCCTTTTCGCACTAGTTCTTTGTTTCGTATAACACAGATTCGCATAACACGGCAATTTTTTGGAACATAACTCCCGTGTTATACGGGGGTTACCTGTATACGGAAATGAGGTAATAGGTTCTTTACTACTGTAGGCAACAGAAGTTTGGTACATTTATTGTAATTCTTCTACGTAATACGGATGCAGTATAATATCGTTGTGTATAAAATTACTTTAATTCGTAGCGGTTGATTTTCTCACAGCAACTCCAGTTGGATAACTCAAGAATATTAAAGCAATTTTAACACAGATTGTACATATGCATTTCGGGCTGTTGTGACTTCACTTCAATGTTCGGGCTTTAATCATACCATTGTCCCTTAAATCTTACTTTATAACCTTTTTTATCACTATATTTTAAAGAAATTGTATTGTAACATGTCACACTTATATAGTACTTCAACCGTACGAAAAAACAGACTTGTAGTCATCACCATTTTTACAAGTTAAAAAACAGTAGATACATAAGACTAGGTTTATTTATAAAGTAAGATTTAAGATTTTATTGAGTTTTTATGTAATAATTTTCTGTAGTAAATTGTATTTTATGCCATTTAGAAAATCTTTTTATGTGTATTTATGGAAAAGTTCAAATGTGTAATGGAGTTTTAAATTATTTTCTCTCTAAAACATGTAAGTATTATAATATTGTAAAAATCTTTATGAAAATAATAACAATATCGGGTTTTTTAATCATGCCAATGTCCTTTAATAGCACTGAACCTGGGCTGTGAAGTCACAGCAGTCCGAAATGCATATGTACAATCTGTGTTAAAATTGTTATAATAGTCTTGAGTCAACTGAAGTTTATGCGGGAAAATCAACCGTTACGGATTAAAGTGATTTTATACATATCGTTATTGTAATTATGTTATTTTTGAACACTTCTTTTAAGACAAAACTCTTGATTGCTTGAAGCTCTTTTGACTTGATTTTATTAATCATCTTTTTATAATTTACAAACAATAAACATTTCTTATTTATGTAAATTAGACTAAATTTACATAAATAAGCTACGTCATTTGTCTTGCAGGCTTGTAAATGGACAGATATACAGATGAATAATTTTTATATACTGTACAGTGTTATGAGTAGAAATTAAACAAGTTTTTCTAAAATAAACAAGTTCTCGGATTTAATTCGGATTTAATAACTCATTTTATAGAAAGCAATAAAATTTAGAGCATTATAAATATATATATATATAATTTTTTTTAGCGATAGAGCCTTTTGCCTTTTTGTGAGAGTCAGATTTGAAAAAAAACTTGGAGAAAACAATCATTTTTCGTCTTTCGAAAAATGTTCCCATATTTTTTATTACCGGAGAATGATCGCATCTCTCTCTCCGGAGTCGTTTCCTTTCCCAGTGACATCGAATGTGTCACTGGGAACTAATGGAAAAAATTTCCGATTGGTGAAAAAGGATAAAGTGATTTAGAGGTATAAAAAAGAGTGAAGTGACTCAAGGACAAGGGGTCGTCGAAAGTTCACGAGAGCGTCAACGAGGTTAACAGAAAGAGAGGTATCGTCGTCAGGCTATCAAGAATTTTTACCCTGTGTTTCGTTAGAACACCGTCGAACTCCACGGATTATTATATCCTCCAGTTCTCCATCGATTTGACCGCCGTCCAAGCAAAACGAAAATATAATGCCTACCAACTGCTCCAGCCGACCGAACTGAAAGAAGTTCCCGACGACCGACCGACTGACCGAAGTTCATCGATACGAAAGTCCGCACAATTAAGTGCATCACAGGTATCTATACCAACTCGCGGTTTATTGTAAACTCTCTCCTTCGACCGTTATTCGATATATGAAGCTATGTATTCTTTTTTAGTTGAATTAAATCGGTTATTTTAGTTGTTAATCTGAGTGATTCACTTCCGAGCCGGCTCTCAATCCTCCTCTATCCCGAATCCGATCGCCCGCGCGAATTCCTAATTTGTGGCCGTTAAGGTTTCTGTGTCTATCCTAGAAGACACAGTATCAGTCTTGACGAGGCACTAAAGACGTGCCGACCCTCTGGTCACATTTGGGTGGCACATAGGGCAACGGAACACTTGGGCGATATAACAAGAGAGATGCGTCCTGATGGACTTTTATATATATAAAAAAAAAGTTACCTCCATTTCGATGTTAGACACGTGAAAACACGTCAAAACCCGATAAACCCCACGTGGTCAGAACATTGGTCAGGTGCGTATTCGCCAACTACTAGTGTTCAGTGGTTTTATCCAATTATTTACAATATGAACTTTTAAATCTGGATAAATGCACTTTTTTCACGTTAATTTTCAAAATATTTTTATAAATATACGTATACGTTATATTTTTGATAGGATATAGCCTACAATTATTCTTTTTATGTCTAATTGGACTACAAATTAGAAAATTTGAAAATTGCAGATGTATATATTCCCATTGTCGTCTGTCCGTCCATTATTCGTTAATTTCGAGGACAAAGTTAGATATATTAAAATCAAACCGGATATGGGAAGCTTGGGGCTCGATTAACTATATACAAACTTCCGGTCTGGACTGGAAGTCACGCGGTTTCAATTAGACTTTTTTGTCTTACTATTGTGAGGACCCAACCGAAGTCCGAAATCATGTAAATCGTGGTATTCTTATGTTTAAATAATAACAATAGATTAAATATGAGAGGGAGCAGAAAATCCCATAATTTAAACAACGCGGCACAAAATGCAGACAACGAGTCTCGGATGACTCGAACACGTGTTAAACGAACTGTCAATGTCAGAATAAAAAGTTATAAGTCAGAGACAAGTGGTCATATGCAGGTAGAACTTTGACCCCAGCGCTCATAAACAATCAATCTAGGAAAACAATTTCAGAAAAGAAAGATAGATTTAAGAGAGATAAATCATTGCATATGATCGTTCGAATACCCAGACGACAGAAATCGCGAGTTGCGGAGCTAAATTATGAGCGCGAGTCTTGCAATTTTGTCAACAATCCCCAAGAACAATCGACAGGAAAGCGTCGAGCAGACACCTGGAATCAGACCTTTCCCGTGACCCGAGTCGGTCTCGGTTTTCCCCAAAACAAAAGAGAGACCAATCGGGAAGCGAGGAAGGAGACGGGGGGCCAATCAGAAGTCCGAATAGTGGGAGAAAAAAACTATAAAAATCGGAAAATCAAGGTCGGGAGGGCCCTCCTCCGACTCCACGAAAGGTCGTGACTGATATTGTGGTGTGTCATCAAGAACTTTGGACTCCGCCGCTTCCAATTTTCGATCGTCCGCCTTGATCAACAACAGCATCTCGTCCGCCCCGGGGCCAGACAGACGCCGAACTTCTCGCTTCTCTGCAACTCCGACGAGAAGAACTAGCGAAGGATTGTCGATTGTCGATGTAAGCATAAATGTTAACAAATAAACGGCTTTCTTGTGTAAAACACTTGTCATCATTTGCATCCTCCGTCACTGACCACATACAACCTTCCCTTACGTTCATCCTGACGCGGGATTAATAGATCCCACCTAGGAGACCTAGGAGACGGCAACCTTACACAGGTGCCGTGAAGTGGGTTTCAAGTCCCCTATCTCCTCCGGGTCGGCTACCTTACACTGTAGAAAGCGATAAATGCGGTATAGAATTGATCCTTACGATAACTTAAATTAAAATAGGATTAAAAAGTGCAGCCCTGAGTAATCTTTGTAAGAGGTTATTACCCACGCCCACCAGTGGCCAAGCGGTCTTCGTACCATGAACACTGGGAGTTCGGTCGTGGGTTCGCTCCTCGCTCGGACAGGCTGGCCACGTGGAGTTTTCCGGGTTTTATCCACGTCTGTAACGCCTAAATAGGGGCCAGTTTCCCTTAAAAAGACCTCCCGGAAGGCATCCTCCCTAGGCAGATCGCACAAGTGTTGCGTTGCTATAATTAAAAAAAAAACAAACAAAAAACAAACTCTCACAACCCAACCTGGTTCAAAGGGCCCTGTTACTGTCCACAGGGGTAGGAATTGTGAAAAATAAAATAAAATCATTTCGGAAGGGAAGTGTCATTGATTAATGGCACCAAAGACCCTAGACTCGATATTTCTAACATTATCCAAATTGTCCAGGTTTAATATTGAACAAATATTTCCTCCGATTTTAAATAATTCGTAACCTGTATACTTAAACGTAATACATATAATTATTTTTAATTATATATTCTTTATCATCCAGCTTAATTAAACATAACATGATGGCAACCAGATAATTAATACTAGGAAGAAGTTTAATTATTTTTAGTGCGGTCAGACAATCACACTCTTTTATTTTATTTTTCATATTTTGTCTATAAGAAAGCTATTAACTCTACTGTAACCCGAACTGACCTATACGTTTTTATATTTTGATGCCTTATGTTTCAATATAACTTATAAAATTATAAAATAAATAATGTATTTAAAGTGTAAATATAATTATAACCCGAATTTAAAAATAACGAGGAACTATTCTAACATTTATAATAATAATTATTTTTTTAATTGTTTATATTAAATCACAGACCATGAAACTAGTTTTTATTACAGCTACAATAAGGTCATTGCTGCTACATTATTGGAAAAAAGTGTATATATATATGTATATACAAATAAATCTATAATAATTATTATACACACAAGTATAAAAAGGTAAATTAATTTGTATAAAATATCAACTCAATAAATTTTATTAATTATTTTTATATTTACGTCTACGCATTCGCAGAATTCTGATTACCAGTTGAAGTTTACGGAACTGGAAAGGTTAACCATTCGCCAAAGGCAATTTTAAGCAAGTTAAATAGGTTGCTGCAGTCATTGAAGAGGAGTTGAACTTTTGTTGTAAGCTGCTGTACGATAGACTCGTTACTTTGTTACATATAATTAAATTTTATTCTGTATCTTGTAAGAAAATGAAGCAACTGATAGATAGAAAAATATTAACGTTTATTTTCCTGATATTTTTATCCGGATCCGTTTTATCAGGTGAATATTTCTAGAGATTTTACTCTTTTTTTTTTGTTTTTTTGTTTCTAACCTCCCTTTAATGTTTAGAGGAATCGTGCACTACTAAAGACGATAAACCAGGGACGTGTGTGGAAATTGGTACGTGTCAAGAAGATCGTCCTATTGTCTGTTCGCAAGAAAATGGTAAAGTGTACGTTTGTTGCTCAGCTAAACAGAATAAGAACACTCCTCGACGTCAGCCCCATCTTAAAGTTCGAGGTATATAAATTTAAAAGGAATAAAAGAATACATTTTTTTTAATACTTTTAATACAATTATACATGGTAATTTCAGGTTGCGGTCGAAGAACTTTACAACTTAGTCCAAGAGTTCGAAGACAAGATGAAATGGAAATGAGGATAATCGGTGATGACGAAGGAGTATCGAGATATACCTCCTTATATTCGTGGCCTTGGATCGTAATTAAAGAGAATTTTTTATCTTAAAAATACACTTGTTTATTTATAAATTAATTAAATTACTAAATGAACTTGCATTTTTAGGGTGGACTTTTTAAAAAAACGAAAGAAGATGAAGCATTAATATGCAGCGTTAATATAATTAGTCCGGATTACTTGCTTACTGCAGCGCATTGTTTACATGGACAAACGTATGTTTGAAAAATTAATTAAAATTTAACAAAATATATAAATAATATTTAAATTATTATAATATTTCAAATCATATTCAGGGATAATAAACTGTTCGTACGTCTTGGAAGCAGCAATGTTAAAAATGGAAATCCGTACGAAGTGACAGACATAAAAATACACGAAAATTTTAATACCGAAACGTTTGAAAATGATATAGCACTGTTGAGAGTTAATTCAAGTTTGGAATATGTTCCAATATGTCTTCCTCATCCGAGATTCTCAAACTCTAATTTGGAAAACCGAACTGGTGTAATATTAGGCTGGGGAGTAACCGGTTACGGTATGTCACCACACAAAAGGAACAAGCATTTATGCTAATAAATAATTTAAATTTTTTAAAAATTTTAGGTAAAAATAGCAGTGAGAGATTGAGAGAAGTGCAAATACCGTTAATGACCAACCAGAAATGCAGGCAAATGTACCAAAGCAGACGTATTAATATAACTGATATGATGATGTGTGGTGGAGAAGAAGGAAAAGATGCTTGCACGGTAAATATAATATTTGTATTTTAAGGGATTTTATTTAACTTGTTTTGTAACTTTCTTAAATTTTCTCACCCTTGACTTCACTCCTCATTAAATTCTGCAAATCAAATTTTATCCATTTCTAATTAAGATAGAAGGCTGAAAATTTCAGGAAATGCTTAAATCCGATTACAATGAATTATAGTGATGTTTTAGGAGGACCAACTTATCTTCCTCCCTATCAGGAAACCCTGTAAATACAGCCAAATTTAAATTTATCATGGTGTGAGTGTGTGTAAATGTACAGTACTATAGTGATGAATATGGTGGGTTGATCTCACCCCAATCTCGAAAAACATGATCAATAAAAGAGTCGTTTTTTAATTTTTAAAGCGTTAATTTTAATAAAATTACTTCTTAAATTGTTTTTTGAATATTGTTACTTATAATCATTTTTCAGGGTGATGGAGGAGGACCATTAATGATGGAGAAGAAGGGAGGGAAATGGTTTATGATGGGTTTAGTTTCATTTGGAATTGGTTGTGGTGAACGAAATTACCCTGGCGTGTATACAAGAGTATCTAAATATCTTCACTGGATAAAAGAAAATACAGATATTGGAGACAGAAGGGAAACTTTATCTTAGAAAATATGTTTATTAAGTATTATTTAAACTGAAACAATAAACTTAATTAATGTACTTATGATTTTAAGTATTTTTTAAAATAAAATTATGCGAAGTCGCATTTTATATAAAACTATACTTTGTATTAATTAATCACATTTGGGTATAAATAAGAATTAAAATACTGGTATTTTTTAAACCGTGCCAGTAATTTATTTCAATTTAAACACAAATTACTTATCGTATTTATACAGACATTTGGCAAATCACAGAATTAAATTTTATTCAGTTGATACGTGTTTCTTTCGTTTATACACGTTTCGGGCATTTTTTGCCCCTCTTCAGCCAACTAATTGTTTAAATTGAAGAATTAAAATACATCAATAGATGTGTGCTGCTTGTTGATTAACAAGCCTTTATCAATAAATAAAGTAATTTTAAAAATTACGTGAAGACAATACTGTATTAAAAACGGTTGTTATCTGATTATACGCTAGATAATACCACTAGAGCGTCTTAGAATTAGTATTCTAATGTCCTATTTTAAGGCGGTTCTAAGACGATGTTGCAAAGGATTATTGTGTTAAAAGTTTTAATTACACCCGTTGTTCGAGGTCTTCAAACGTCAGATATGCCTAAATGACAAAGTCAAAGACATTACGCACAGGTCACAGAGTTTCAAAACGCTGCATCATCGATAAGAGACAAGCAGGATGACAAGTTCGCTGAATATCCCGCCATCTAGGCTCTTCTCATCTTACTGCGAGGAGATGTTGAGATCACTGAATACATCAAAGTACACATGCATACAAGGGTGCATAGGTTTTGAATGCTTCAGATAGACCAGGCATGGCCAACATACGGCCCGTGTAATGAATTTATGTGGCCCGCGATTAATCTTTCAATATTAGCTACTCAAGTCAGAATAGCTCGGTAAAAAATAAAGAAAAAAAAAAGGTCAACAACTCGCTGTCTGGTTAGAGTTAACCCTCCATTACAAATCTTTTAAGTACAGCGTAGAACGTAGAATCTTTTAAGTACAGCGATGAAGCATGATAATGTGAAAAATGTAACTGTAATCTCTGTATACAATTTAGTCTCTACCGGCTGACACCACAATGAGATCTCGCACCATCTGAAAATCTTCCTAGGGCAGCCTCTGGTTCGGCCCGTGAAAAAGTTTTCTTTCCAATTCGGCCCGGGGGCAAAAACTGTTGGCCACCCCTGAGATAGACCACCTAAACCTAAACCGATGATTGTGTCACCTTGTTTCACACTATAAAAATTAAGCCGGTCGGATGGCCGAGATTGTTAAAACATCAGAAATACAAGAACAAATACAAGCGAGTAGGAATACCACAGCAATTTTTTAAGGATCCATCATCACTCAGTTTCCCCATTTTGAATCTGTCCGAACTTACAATAAGCCTGAAAAAAGCCACTTAGCGCTCACAGGGCGGAAAGTGTGAAAATGAAACAATTAACACGTATTTAAAAAAATCCAGCAACGAGTTAATTAACTTTTCCGGTAACATTTAAAACTGCATGTGTGGTGCTATCTGTTATGATATTTTATTATTAAGAACTTTTTTATGTTTTTAATTTTTACAGAATGGCAAAAAGCTTAATTTTAAGGGTAGGGACAGATTTTATTAAAAAAAAAATTATAAATGCTAATAACGAGTAAAATCGTCGTTAAGTCCGACCCTACTGAAGATATGACGTGCGACACCTTTTATCTCCTTTTCCAGTCGACCTTTAACTACCAAATTCAATCGTACTAATCCCCCTAATACACAAAACTCCTTGCAAAATTTAAAAAATTTTTGTCAAAATGCACAGAAGTTATTAAAATTCAACTTGGGTAAACAAAATCGTGTCCTCCACACACACTAACATTCATACATACAGTAGAGCGTCGTTTATCCGAAAGCTGGTTATCCGAAACGTCCGTTATCCGAAAGCATTCCAGTCGGCAAATTTAAATTTTCGCTAGTGCTGTGGCGCTGCAATCTTCGGCTATTTCTCGGGCTACTCAAATATTTTACTATATTGATACTAAATCAACATCTGAAGTATAATTTTTTTATTGTTTTTATATTTTTCAATAAATTTATTTTGTTTGTACAAAATAAAAAAATAATTTTTAACGATACAATAGTCTTCGTTAGGCTTAACATCGACGAAAATTCAACGCGAAGCGACACGCAACGGAGAGAAATTTCAACATGGGATAAATTAATATATTTTTTCGTACATGATTCGTTATCCGAAAAATAAGTTATCCGAACCACTCCAGTCCCCAATTGATTCAGATAAACGACGCTCTACTGTACAGAAAAAATTCCCGATGTCTTTTGCATTTCTCGACGTTTTAAGGTGTTGAATCTATAAACTAAAAATCTTGTGATCTTTATTTGATCGATCGCCATATTTTCCCTCTGTTATATATAACGGAGCCGGGAAAGTAAAAAATGTAAATCAAAAACTTATGTGAGATTAGCAGTGGTCCACGGGTTAATCCCAAACTGTCCACTTACACTGCAACGAGTTGGGTAAACCCGATCTCGGGGTCTTAGAAGGGCTTTTTATCGAGTGGCGAGGGAGGTGAGCAAGTCGGCAGGCGTCCTTTAGAGACAGGAGACAGGTTTAACAAAATAACAAAGCATTTATTGAATAACTAAATCTAAGTTACAGGAATACTAAGGTTAAACGCGGTTATATTAAAATATTTACAGAAATTGGCGACGAATTTCGTAACTATGTCGCTGACCTAATTTCTAGTTCGAGAGAGAGCGCTTTGACAAAATCTAAATCCCCTAAATACCTCTCGGCGTAATGGAGAGTATGCGCGTCGTCTGTATGGAAGAGGTAGGAGTCCCCGGTATCTTCTATCCGATGTCTTCTCCCTGTAGCTGGATCGGGTCCGCTGTATGGAGGTCCGGGAGTCGAGGTGGCACTATCACCAAGTATAACTTCCTATGACGAATCGCCCTGAACTTCCGTTGTAATGCCCTTTTATAGCCTTATCGTGAGAAAGAAGACACGTGATTGACTTTTGTTGACGATGACGGTGCATTCTTCACACCTAAGCGTAAACTTTCCCAGCTAGTTGTTATACAATCGGTGAAATCCGATCTAGTTCAAATTCTTCGGGTTTTTTCCGAGGATATTTACAATTAACAGAAAAGTTAGATTTTTAAGAGGTCCGTAAAAATCCGCGGGCTCTCACTTACATTTATCAGTATTATTATTCACCAGAAGAAAACAGACATAATTCTTTTATTTTTACATAATTTAAAATCCAATTTATTATCTCAAAATATGCATTACTTGAAAAAAAAATTTATCATAAAAAATAATAACTAGTGTTGCAACGAATAGTATATTCGGCCAGGAGCGTGGCCGAATAGCCGAATATTCGGCCAAACTATTCGGCTTGATTAACGCACGTACGAAAATTGGCGTGCAAAGCGCATTATGGCAAGGACCCTGCTCTCTATTGGGCCGCTGTCACTACGCTTCGTCAATCACGTTAATTCTTGACAGTTGTAGCGGACAGACAAGAGCGTTATGGCAGTACTGTATGTGATAAATGATATCAAATGTGGATAACAATGAAATGACCTACACGTGTAAATAACGGAAAAAGAACAGAGAAGGACCGCGAAGTGAAAATGTGAAAATAAATATGAAATTGAGTTGATAACATAATCGAACAAGTCGAGGCAGCTTATTGGCACGAAATTCGCGGCCGTCAATGCCAAACAATTGTTGTCATAGACTTCGGAAAGCTAAATGCTTGTAATGAAAGTCACTTAGCGTGCACGGGCGAAAGCCTGGGGCCGTTCGGGCTATCAAGCTGTCTCGAATCTGTGAAATCATAACTGTGACTTATATCGACGTCCTATCTGTCTCTTTTCTCCGTTATCACCAGGCTGAGTCACGTAATTGTAAAATGGGAACTCTACGACGGAAAAGTGACGAATCGAAAGTATCGTGAGCGCGTATTATGATGTATGCACAGGCATACATGGATTAGAGCGATAGAGGAAAGAGAAAGGGAAGAGCAAAGACGAGCGCTTAAAAAGAAGGATAGGCAGGGTCAGACCCTCAGATGTGCGAGGATTCTCCAACGATAGACGTGTACGTGTGCTGATCTTTGTAATTATAAATTGTGAATACATGTGACTAATATTATTTTCTTTTTTATTTTGTGCATGTTACAAGTTATAAATAAATATAAACAAACAACACTAACTCGATAACATTAAATCTAAATACCAAAATGATTAATTTACTGTGTTTTTGTTATTTATTACTCCTGTTTTTAGGTATTCGGTATTCGGCCGAATAGTGATTAAATATTCGGTATTCGGCCGAATAGTGAAAAATAGGCCGAATAGGCCGAATACCGAATAGTAACCGAATATTCGTTACATCACTAATAATAACATTTAACAATACAAATAGAAAATAAAATTTTTATAACAAATTTTATAAAATTTTGGTATTTTACTCGAAATTTAAATCCGTAGAAAATGGTAATCAAAATTTTAATTTAAAATTTTATGATTTAAAAACTAAATTTATTAATAATTTTACTTACGTGTTTATAAACATAAGTTTCGAAAAAAAATTATTTTTTACAAAGTAAACGTAAAGCCCATTCATTTTGCATATTCAAGATTGCTACTTAAGTCATTAAAACTGAATAACCTGAATGTTCTATTGTCAAAGTGAAAAACGGAACTTTAATCATACAATAGAAAAGAATTATCCCTTTGAACGGTGTACTGTACGTAAGGTTACTACACCACACCCTTTACGATTAATTTTGGTGTGCAGTTTTTAGACTGTGAGGCCGTGAAAATGAAAATGTTAATTGCAACACACACCAATAAGCACTGCACTTACATATAGGTTAGATAGAGTAAAATTTAATGCTTAAAACTAAAATAAAGCCTTCAAACTAATACAGAAACTAAGCTAGCAAGCCCTATTTGAAGCGGAATAACCAAAGTTGAACAATCAAAAGAAACAACGAATATACAGTACTAACAACTAACTTAAAATTAACTTATAGCTATCTTCAATCTAATTTATAGTAACTTATTTCTAAACGAGAATACTGACAAGGATAACAACCAAGAGACACTATAGGATGCAATGACAAAAGACTTATGAACAAAACGCAAATTTTTACTAATTTATTATTTATTTATTATACAAAGACTAAGACAACATAAGTGTATGTTGCAAAGGATATTGCTTTCTTTCTGCATCCGCCTAGAGAGTTCACGTCTGATATTCGTACTAGATATCTCGTACCCTATTCCTCAAAAAAAAGTGTTTGTTTGTTTTATTAAATTATGGCAACGCAACACTTGGGCGGAAGGGGATGCCTTCTGGAAGCTCTTCTTACGGGTAACTGACTCTATTCGGGCGTTACAGATGTGGAGTAAACCCGGAAAACTCGACGTGACCATCCCGTTCTGGCGAGGCGCGATCCCACGACCGAACTCCCAGTGTTCAGGGAACGGAACCGCTTGACCACTGGTGGGACCTCGAAAAAGTAATACGGAGCAAATAAAGCGAAAGAAAACAGAATACAATCAAAGATTCAGATAAATATATTCTAATTAAAACCATAAATGTTTACAAAATATTGAAGATAATATTGATCTTTTAAAATAGATTTTTAGGTCATTTTGTTGATATTGCAGTATCAATAAGATGTCGTTAACCCTTCGATTATATTTTGAATTATAGAAATCTGAGAAAAAAGGTCAATAATCTATACTAATATTATAAAGAGGTAATGTTTGTATGTAAGTTTGTATGCAGCAGGTAATCTCCGAAACTACTTATCCGATTTCAAAAATTCTTTCACCAATATTTAGAATGGAACCTCAGAGTGGACATAGGCTGTATATTATTCCGTTAAACATTCATATAAATTAGAATATATAATCTAGGTTAAGGCTTTTATGTCAACAGATGGCGCTACGAGTACGCCAAAGTATGCTTTTCTGTGAGACATTACGCTTTTCTGTGAAAATGAACTAAAGCAGATCATCTTCTATCTATTTATATAAATAAAAATGTAATGTTCGTTTGTTCCTACCGATTCCTTTGAAATTTTGACACAACGCTGCATTCGAATACGCA